AAAAAAAGTAGGTAGGTATTTGGATCAGGTAACCTTAAGGTAATTTTTGGCACCTTTTCTTCCTCTTCTACAATCCTGGCAAAGCACAGACCATCACACAGATGACTAAATACTGCAATGAGTCTGAGTCTTTAACTCTGTGCTGCATGCTCAACAATAGTTAATGAGGTAGAAACACTATGCTCTGGGAGCTAGACTAATGCTGTAAAATTTAAAAAAGGTCCTTGAAAGGAGTCTGAAGGGACAACGTATGCAATGATGTTTCCTATACCCAGCTCTAGTCCAGATCATTGTCCAAAGCTCCAACTCTGCATTTCCCACTGCTTATCCCAGCCCTACCTCTCCTGAACTCATCTTCTCATTCCACACTTCCCCAAGCCACCTCCCTTTCCTGCATATACCGTCTGAATTTGTCGTATCATTCTTTCCCAGACGGCACATGTAAGATACAGAGTGAGGGAACTCATCAGTCTCCCCCCTCGACACTTACGGCCATCACTGTCACTTCCTTTAAATTTTTTTAAATGTTTTACTTATTTCTGAGAGAGAGAGACAGCTTGAGCAGGGAAGGGTCAGAGAGAGAGGGAGATACAAAATCCGAAGCAGGCTCCAGGCTCTGAGTCGCTGTCAGCACAGAGCCCGATACTGGACTCGAACCCAGGAACCGTGAGATCATGACCCGAGCTGAAGTCGGACGCTTAACCGACTTAGCCACACAGGCGCCCCTCTCACTTCCTAACTGTGCCAGAGGAAGCAAGAATGCTAAACTGTTTGCTCAGAATTTGAAATACTGACGAGACCTCATTTTGCTGGCAGATGAGGTTACTGTGTCCATGTTCTAAACAACAACTTTCTCTTGTTCCCAATTCCAGGCAAGAAAGGAGGGACTACCTCTTGAGGCCTCCACCTTCTACCTTTTCTCTTCCAGGTTCAATCTGCCCCTGGTAATCTGGACAAGTTATTGAACTTATCTCTATGCCTCTGCTCTCTATCTGTAAAATGAGAACGTAATTGTGAAATTTCAATGTTTCTGTGTCACATACAGAACAGCCCCTCGTCCACAGTATGCAGCAATAAGTAAGAGCGCTAAGTTGTAAGGTCTCTCTACCTTCCACTGTCCATGGTAAGCACTCCTACTAGGGCTATCCAGCCGACTCTCTTTCCTGATTTCTCTGGTAAGCTGATCTGGACAGATAGGGTCCAGATACATCTCTTCCCTCTTCTCACATGTACCTCTCTCTCCCTGAGAGAATGAACTCACACCATCCAAGGTGGGAAGGACCTTCAGCCCACAAGGCACAAACTTCATTCTACAAGTCATTTTCACCAAATAATTCTTTATTGGGAATAATCAGGTGATTGGCTACGAATAAAGTAGTATTGGGGCACCTGGGAGGCTTAATCGGTTGAGCGTCCAACTTCAGCTCAGGTCATGATCTCACGATTCACAGGTTTGAGCCCTGCATCGGGCTCTGTGCTGACAGCTCAGAGTGTGGAGCCTGCTTCAGACTCTGTGTCTCCTTCTCTCTGCCCCTCCCCCACTCATACGCTGTGTCTCTCTTTCTCTCTCAAAAATAAATAAAAATATTTTAAAAAATTAAAAATAAGTAAATAAAGTAGTGTCTGTTTATCCATCTCATTCTTGTTCCTTCATGTGTACAAAAACTGTGGTCTGGAACTTACAAGCTGGAGTCAGATGTGAGCTGAAAAACCCTAACCTGAACCCCTAACATAAGAACTTCTTAGTCATCCTTACTCTGCCTCTGTCTTGCCTGCAACATTGACCCTCTCTCCTCTTTCCCTTTATTACTACCTTATTTCCGGTTTTCCACATGTTATCTAGACAATTCCATCAGCCTCTAAAGTGGTCCCCCTCTACAATGGCTTTATACACCATCTTTAACATTGGCTACCAGGGCTATCTTCCTAAACCTGGTCACATCATTTCTTGCTCAGAACTCTTCAGCGGTCTACTGGTACCTAAAACAGTGGTCTCTGAACCCTGGCTGAACACTGAAAACAGAGATTAAGTCAGAATCATAAGTGGGACCCGGGAATGAGTTTTTTTTTTTTTTAATTATCTAATACAAGAACTTGATTACTACCTTAAGGGAAAACGGAAATTTAGAAGCTCAATGCTACATGCAATTTTTTAGAGCAAAGTATGTGTATGTCCAATAATTTCAAAATACTGATGAAAGTTCAAATGGGGAAGATGATAGCTCTCAAGAAGGCTGGTAGCAATCTGCTTTGGAAAATACCCTAAGTTCTTGAGGCACCTGGGTGCCTCAGTCGGTTAAGCTTCCAGCTCTTGTTTTCAGCCCAGGTCATGATGGTTGTGGAATAAGTCCTGCAACAGGCTACATGCTGAGCATGGAGCCTGCTTAGGATTCTCATTCTCTCTCTCCACCCCCCCCCAACTCTGCCTCTCTCCCTCACTTGCACGTGCACTCCCCTCACCCACCACCTAAAATGAAATTTAAAAAAAGAAAAACACCCAAAGTTCTAGACAAAGTTCAAGTAAGCATGGAAAAATCTTGAAAGTAAGAGAAGAAATAAAAGAGAAGTACAAATATTTACGCAGAGGTCAACATGTGTAAATAAAAAGATTTAATGGTGAAGATGAATGAAATAAGACAAGATCTTAAAATATTTCAAAGCACAGACATCAAGGAATGAGCAAAAAACTGCAAGTAAGGACATTGCATGAAGATATGGCTTGATTAGGTTACAACATGACAGAAAGACCACTAGATCAAAAGAGCATAGGCAGAAAGTTCTGGTTCATATTCTATCTTTGTTGTGTATTACCATTATTATATTCTTAGACAAGCAAATATTTAACATTGTTACAACTTAAATTATAAGTTGGGGATAAAACCTATTTCATAAGATAACTGGGAGAATTTAACAAGATAAATACATATAAAAGCATCAAGCAGAGGGCAATGCTCAATAAATTGTTTGATGAATGTTTCTCTGAGAAGTAAGTCATCTTATAGGATGAAATCCTAAAAGAAAAAACAAACCTTTTCAGAACCATACAAAACAAACACACAGAAGACAAAAAAAACACTGATCTATGGTTGTGTTGTGCCAGTATGGTGGGCAACAGAACTTGGAAATTTCTCCAGTTTCCACATGGCAAAAATTGAGGTTAGCTCATCTCCGTGAAGGTAACCCATTTAAAAAAATCCTTCAAAGACAAATAACTCTATACATGCATTTAAAAGTACACACAGTGGGTCTTAATTACCACTGCACTGAATTCAACATTATATTAATTACCATTGCATTAAAATGTGTCAGTAAACAAATAGCTCCTTACTCTCAAGTCACTCCTGAGTCAGCCTATCAACATTAATGAGTGTGCTTTCCTGAGCTATTTTAGGGTAGAAAATCAAAAGCACCTGGAGTGGCAGGTACATGTTTTTATAAACATAATTTTGAAAGGTCAGCTGCTATTTGTCTTAGGGATAATTCAGAGTATGGGGAGAGGTTGTGGATTAATTCTGTTAACAAAAAAATGTTTGCCACACTCTGCATGCACACTGCATTTCAGGTGCCACTCCATTAAACTAAGTAGACTCTTGAACATCTTAGAAGTCCCAAGTGAGGAAATGGGTATTTTGATGTTTTCTAAGTATCTTAGGTTTCCTAAAACTGAGCTGACTACTATCTTTAAAACAAACACTCCTTATTTTACTCAATTTAGTATATTTCTTTAAAAGCTACTGCTTTCTTTTCCTTTCTTCATGTTCAGAACTGGTACCTATTAATTATGCCTATTAGGAATAGGGTGGTTCTGTGATTTTCAAATAGCATTTGCAGGGTGTACAGTTGAGGAAGACACAGAATAAGATTTTCCTAAGGTATGGGGAAATGGAAGTTAAAAATGCTCACATATTTATGAAAAAAAGGCTGCCAGAGGTAGTAGTGTTTTGGGTTGTAAAGACCATGAAAAAGAGAGCAATACTGTCTGCACAGTCCCCTCGAGGAAGAGGAAACAAGGAGGCAGAAAAAATCACTGCCCTGGAAATTATGAGACCGTGGTTCTGTTCTGAGCCCTGCTACTAACTAACAAGTGGCCTTGGGATGGTCATTGCCAGCTCTGGTTTTGAGGTTTTTACTCTGTAGAATGAGGGTGATGAACGAGATGAGAATTTCCCAGTCTGTTCTAACTGTAGCTCTACACATCAGCTACCTCTAAAACCGCTGTTTTCCACCTTCTTTTCCAGCCCAGCACACTGGCAGGGACTCTCAAGTCCCTGAAGGCTATGTCAGAAACTCCTGCAGGGCAGGATGGGTATGCAGTTTGAATCAGCACACCCTCGACACTTTGCACAGGGACTCCACAACCAATGGAAAACCGCCAAGTCTCCGATCTCCAACTGAGAGCCGCCGCTCAGTACAGCAGACCCAGCAGGCAGCCCTTGTATGGGCAGAAGCAGTGAGCAAGCAGCCTCGTCTCTTCAGGAAGAACTAAAAGATGTCAGAATTGGAAACACCGTAGATATGTTCTGGCACAACCTCTAATTTCATACAAAGGAACACACCAAGTTCCTGAAAGGAAAACTGGTACAAAAATGGCCATCAGGTTTGTGTGACTGGGTTGGATAAATACTCAAGAGTCCACAGCCAGTGCTCTGGTTAACAGGCCATCAAGATCGCAATTCACAGAAATGTATGTGGAATGATCTGGCTTCCTTAAATGATCTAGTAAAAGAGACAGAGTTCCCCTTAATTATATCTCATGTAAGCTTAGAAAAAGAAAACAAAATCAAGGAGTATCAAATACCAATTAATTGTATGGGACAAAAATAACCAGGTTCAATGATACCCTAGGACCTCCTGTTATAAGCAATTCAGAAGGGGGTTAAATATAAATAAATAAATAAATAAATAAATAAATAAAAAGCTCCTTCTTTAAACCAACTCCCCCATCATTCCCTTGGATCATGGGTGCATCAGGTCCTGATCATCTAAAAGAGTGTTCTTACCATTCCAATGCAGAAGAGGATAAAAAGGAGCAGCCATGGTATGTCTGTACAGCTACGGTCCTCCAGTGGCTTCCATTCTCGCTTAGAGCTCTAATTGAAAACACAAAATAAGAGAGTGGCAAAATGTTAAAGGTAGTTAAAATGAGGAAGGCACAAATATACCACTTATACCTAGATTCCGTCTTGCCTGACAAGTTTCTACTGAACCTATTAAGATACAACTCAAGTATTGGTCACCTTTCTGGGAAGTTTTCTGTAACTCCCCGTCTTTCTTCTTGGTTAGGCAGAGTACTGATTCCAATGCTGTTTTTGTACCTCTATTAGAGTATTTAGCATGCTAGGTTGGATTTGTTAGGCTGTGTCCCCAGGAGATCACGAGCTTCACAAGGAAAAAGACCTCTTATTTTCCAGCATCTAACAGGACACCTGAGGGTTCAAGACATGCACTCAGTATGGCCTTTTTAAAATCAATGAACGAACAAATTCTTCCAACCTTAATCTTAATGGTGGCTTTCTCTTTGTGTGTTCAGATGCTAAACTTAAAATTTTTAGAGGGGTGCCTGGATAGCTCAGTCGGTTAAGCATCCAACTTCAGCTCAGGTCATGATCTCATAGTTTGTGAGTTTGAACCCTGCATCGGGCTCTGTGCTGACAGCTCAGAGCCTGGAGCCTGCTTCGGATTCTGTGTCTCCCTCTCTCTCTGCTCTTCCTCAGCTTATACTCTGTCTCTCTCTCTCTCTCAGAAAAAAAAAAAAAAGAAAAGAAAACATTTAAAAACTTTTTTTTAATTTAGAATGTGTATTACATATGATCTTTTCTAGGAAGAAAGGCCTTTAAAGTGAATTCCTATTCAAGGGTAATTTCTTTTAGACCTAATAACATTCAGGAAAGAAAAACTAAATTAAAACATTTTTAGAGACAGATCTGGGTAACTCCTAAGCCACCATACACAGATTTTCAGTCTGTTTCTAGAAAGTATAAAGAGTTTCTTGATCATACAAAGATTCCCTACCTGAAGAACGAGAAGCATTCTAAAAGTAAATGTGCGAAGTATTGATTGGAATCCTGACTGCAGTTTTTTTTCTTATAGCAAACACTATTAGGCTCTCAAGTCAGCTTACAAATTCCTTTTAACCGAATGTAATTGAAAAAACACTCCTAAGCTTTCTAATGAACAAAAAAGCCCAGAGTCTCTCACCCTATGCTGGAAACAATAAGCAGAGAAGGGAGAAAAGGTAGCCTTGGGAAACCTATGGGAAAAGTTCTTGCGAGAAGGTTGGGGCCTCCAATGGCTTCCATGACAAGATCCAGGAAGCCATCTGGAGATAATAAGGAGGCCTCTAATACAATTAGTATTTAGAGTACAAGAGTGGGGAACTGGTTCTCAGGTTTGCTTACTGGCTTTGTCCCTCCCATTAACAGAAAACAACATGGGGCGCCTGGGTGGCTTAGTCGGTTAAGCGTCTGACTTTCGCTTAGGTCATGATCTCGCGGTTCGTGGGTTCAAGCCCTGCGTCGGGCTCTGCGCTGACTGCCAGCTCAGAGCCTGGGGCCTATTTCAGAGTCTGTGTCTCCCTCTCTCTCTGACCCTCCCCTGCTCATGCTGTCTCTCTCTCTCCTAGAAATAAATAAAAATATTTAAAAAAAGAAAACAACAGTTTTCGGCTATGTACACTTTGATAACTTGATGAAAGCTACACATTCTTTTCTTGGGAGGTATGCATCTATTTGCATAATTTTCACAAAATTTTAGGGAATTCAGAACCCAGGTTAGGAAACTCAGGTTTAAAATACCTGCCTATCAATGTTGAAAGCAGAGTCTAAGCTACAACCCTTCTTCCCTACCCCTCACATGCTAACCAGACAAGTGCCTTTTTCTTGTTTAGTGCCTTACACTGTTCAATTGTTCAACAACAACAACAACAACAACAACAACAACAACAAACCCCTCCACCCTTAATGGCTTGGTCCCGACACCCACACAAGAAAACAAAAGAGCAGTAGTGAGTCACAGGGGAAAACCTTGCCCTCAGACTCTAACTAGCATTAAAAACCAAGAGTGAGTAGGCAGTTTTTTCCAGAGGAATGTAACACTATGGATAAAGGACTCTGTTCTCTCGCTAGTTGTCATTAGTTAGCTACGAGACTTTGGATAAATTGCTTCATCTCTCTGGGTGGCAGGAAAGGGTTAGATTAGATCTCTTAGGTTTCCTCCAACTCTAAAAATCTATGATCAGCAGGACAGTTCTGTGAAAATTTTTGTTATGACCAAAAAAAAAAAAGCTGCAAAAATAATTTGACGTTATTCCTTGTACTTTTCAAGTAAGAATGCCTGTATTGTGGTCTATGTTTTGGAAGACAGTTACTCACAGTATGAATAAAGAATGTTTCTTTGTATTAAATAATCTCAGTCTTGAGTAATACCCATTAAAGTAAAATTACTTCCAAACACAGAATTTGGATATCTCTTTGAAATTCATATTTACCCTATGGTAATTTCCAGAGCAACAGTGACTTTAAGATGTTCTATTTGTTTATCTTAAACAGTCCATAATGGGGGGGGGAGGGTGTGCAGGGAAGAAGCCTCAGACTGATTGAGCAGTTTCTTTATCCACAACTATTTTCTTAGTAGTTTTACTTTAGACCAACATTCAGTTTTTAATGCTTAAATTCACCTACAACATAAAGAAAGTGGGATTTCACTCTTGACCAGAAACACACAGAGATTCGACATCCCAATGATTTAATTCTACTTACTGACAGACACTTCTGACCAAATACATAAAAAACCATTCACTGGGATTAGAAGTAGAAAGAGGAGGGGGTTACGTATAAAAATAATGATAAAGTATAAACTAGAACAGAAAAACACCAAGGAGGGGGTGATCACCCTTACTCAGATAAAGAAAGGCTTCTTAGAGGAATGGCAGCTTACTTCATGCGGGTGTTCTGAGGATTAAACGTGAGCTCTGTCACACAGTAAGCACTAATTCTTGGTTATTATTCATCCACACTTTTTAGTTAACCTTCTCCTTATTAAGATATCCTTTTACCAGATGGACCTCTCCAAATAAAATAAATAAAAAGAATATTAAAGCTGCCTTTCCCCCGCTATTTACTACAACTTGACTTAATGGTGCCATGTTTTCATTTTAGCTACTGTTTTTAATGCTATCCATCACTGATCACTATTAACTAGGCACTATACCCAAAGCTTTACATACTTATGTCTTTTTTACATACATTATGTCTTCAAAACAGCTCTCTCATGCAGGTATTATCCTTATTTCACAGATTAAAACAAAAACAAAAACAAAAACAACCCAATCTCAAAAAGTTAAATAATCAGCCCAAGATTTTACAGCCGTGCAACCAGATTCTGAATCCAAATCTGTGACTACAAAGCCAAATCCAATGAGAATATCATTCATTTGCACCAGTCAGTAAGGAGCAAAAACCTCCACTAGTTTTTCCTCACAATGCAAAACTGGGGAGCCAACCCAATTATTTAAAATCCTATAGGCACCGAGAAAGAGAGTAAGATGTTTTATGAGCCATGACATTTCTCAAGCGAGTCAAGAAACCCAACAGTTGAAAAATTTTAATGTTTCTTTAACAGATTTAACCAAGTGGCAACTGGATTTAATGCTGTCTGTTTCTTCCAATTAAAATCCACATAGACCTGGCAGAAGTAAAATGTTTTACAAAAGCACTTTTTAAATGTGATTTTTATCCCCTTCTTAAATTCTATATGAGATTAACACAGGCTGTCAGTAAATGTTAGGTCCCTTCCCCTTCACACAATCTGACAATTTAGGAACTAAGTAGAGTCAATGTAATCATACTGTGCAAGCCTTAAATGACAGTGATTGAGACCAAGGGAAGGAAGAGGTTGGGACTAGCCCAAGGGATCACATGTGATCCTCAAAACAATTGTTAGTCATTATTATATGTTCCTGATTTTTCTACTTTGCAAAAGAGAAAACCAAGGTTCAGAGAAAACAAGTGGAAAATCTATATCTGAAACCTGAGACCTCAAACTCAAGCAGAGAGATGGACACTATTAAGAGTTAAGGAAATGCTAAAAATAAAAAACATGGTAACAAGATGAAGAATGCTTTTGTCAGGCTCATCAATAGACTAAACACAGCCCAGGAAAGAATCAATAAATTCAAGGATAGGTCAATAGAAATTACTGAAAGTGAAACACAAAGGAAAAAGGAGTGAAAAATCAAAAATCTACAACAGAGCATCTAATAACTACAGGGCAGTATCAAATGGTCTAACATATGTGTAATTGGAATCGCAGAAGGAGAAGATTGAATGGGGCAGAGAAAATGTTGGAAGAAATAATGACTGAGAATACTCCAAAAATTAAAACAAATGTATAATAAAGCACAGCTCTATTTACTACGTTTCTAACAAAAGAAATCAAAACACAGATCCAAGAGGTTAGAAAATCCCAAACAAGATAAATCCAACACCCATATGCATACATGCATACACACACATACACACCCAACTCATATCATATTCACAGTGTTGGAAATGAAGAATAAAGAGATCATCTTGATGGCAGAGGGAGGGGGGCACACTACATACAGAGAAACAAGAATTAAACAACCTTCTTGTCAGACACAATTCAAAGCAAAAAAAAAATGCAATGACATCTTTAAATTATTGAAAAAAAATTTTTTAAATCAACACTTATTAGGGGAGACTGAGTGGCTCAGTGGGTTTAACTCTTGATTTCAGCTTCAGTCATGGTCCCAGAATCGTGGGATTGAGCCCCACTTAGGATTCTTTCTCTCTCTCTCCCCGCCTCTGCCCCACTCATACTCACTCTCGAAAAAAAATAAAATTATATATTTTATTTTATATAACATATATATTATATGTTACATATATATTTCTGAGAAATATGTTTCTGAGGAAAATGTTTCTCAGAAATGAAGACTTTTCCAAACAAACTCTAAGAATTTATTAGCGGCAAACCTGAACTACAGAAAATGTTTAGGCTGTGGCTGGCTCAGTCAGTAGAGCATGTGACTCCTGACCTCAGAGTAAATTCAAGCCTCACATTTGGCATG